TCCACATATTTTGTCTGGTCTGTCAAAATGTTATTATGAGAGTAGTAATAATTTAAGCAGAGTACAAGATGAAAAAACTGAATTGAATTCGTGAATAAATTTCAAGATGATTGGCAGTTGATATTTTCTTAACATTGATTTGTTTAATAATATTTTAAATAATATTATTACAATAATAATCAGAAAACATATTTATTTTAACCATCGAATAAAGAATAAAAAATACCGTTATTAAATTTGTATTAATACTATTAATAGATGACAATCTGATATCATTTGCCCCAGTCATTTCTAATTCTCACTTCGTAAGTAAATTTTATTAGTGGAACTACATATATAACAGTATCCACCTGACACACTAAGAACCTATCCAGTTGGACAAGGTACGACAACTTGTTTTCTTGCTCCACTAGATCAAATTTAATTACTATTGGCAGTTTTTAGTGTGAACTGGTTTAAAATTATCATTAATAGCATCACTAGCAGCAACATCGATGATTTAATTACTTAAAAAACTCTTCCTTTTAATTCATTAAAATGCGATTGGATAATGTGCAACATTTTTCTTACTAAAATAATTGGAAATTTTCTAAAAACAGAAAATAATGAGATATTGTGGTAAATTATTCCACAAATTATGTTACAAGAGGTTCGTTTACAACTGTTTGTTGTTGGAATTCATGTAAATATAACAGACCATATTTGAAAACCATTATTTTCATCATTAGAGTTATTCATATGCCGGTAAATGGCATCCCGGGACTTTCAAATATCAAATTTTGTGTTGGTTCGTACGAAAATATCCATATAACTAACTTTGTAGTAACAACGATGATATAAAAGTTAAAATTTGCTCGTCATTTTTAAAATTGGATGACTTTTGGCATTCATGGTCATAATCTATTACCTACATATTACAGACATTTTATATTCCCGTCATGATTTCCAACCAAACTATTGGGTATTTAAAACAAAATTATTAATCCCATCGCTCATAATCCACCTTATATTGGTGGAGAATACATCGCAGTGTTCAATAAATTTTATTTATTTTTATAGAAAATTCTTTCAGAAATGCGTGTGACATGTTGTATACCATGATTAAGCCCCTTTAGAAAAAGTAAACTAGTCACATTTACAGCATGTGACCATTGTGGGATTTATGAAATCGAATAAAAACATTTTTCTCTCTACTAATCGTCAATTTGTTGTCAATTGAGTGTACGTTTTGCGATTATAAGTATAAGTGCAAAAAAATGCTTGATTATGGGTCATAAACAATTGATGAAAAAATGTAATTGAATTAATGTAATGACGGCTAGCAAACATGACTTTGTAACAAAAAAACCTGTAAGATTTCTTTTTAATTTCGCGCCATTTTCATGAGTGAAACTAATAGCTGTCAAAATTTGATGGATATTTACAGTTAGCAAGTAGATATTAATATGTATACCAGTTAGGTCAATGATTTAATGTTAAGACCGACTAAATGTACTTTATTCTATTACAAAATAACATTAAACAAAATGTTCTACTCGTTAATTAGAAAAAAATATACAAGTTTAAGTAAATCTACCTTTAAAAGAAATACATTACTAAACAAACAAAATACTATATTTAACTTTTAATGATCATTATCGAACCACCTAATCCAAGTTTAGTTTTAACATCATTACACTTGAAATCACTTTGCGGTAGGTTTAAAGGATTAATGAACTATCAAGTTTCAAAGCAACAATTTAAAGACCATGATTGGAGGAATACTTTAACGTTCTTTAGGTATTTCATTAAACATATTTACACCACATTTCTTAATACCCTATTAAACTTAAAAGAGGATCTAAAAAGTGACTAAGCGTTGGCAGCTGTATGTTGTACAAAGTTAAGAAACCAAGATGTGATAAGAGGAAAACTTCTTATATAAAAATCTTTGAGTTGACTTGTGACCACAGGAACTGGTTTCCTTAAACTACAAACGTTTTTAAAAAGAGTGTGACACTAGATGCCAATGCGAGTATTTGTGGCAGTGCAATGAGGATTAAGTTTAATTTAATGAAAGTGAACATTTGGTTGTAATTATGTTAATGAATTTAGACAAATAGCACAGGATTAAGTTTTGTATGGATGAATCTAAAACTAACAAATTGAAGTTTTGTAATTCTTTTATGGTAATTTTCTTCTTTTACAAAGCCATGAAAAGGCAAATGAAGATGAATACCTATGTTCAATGGTCCTACAATCCTACATCCTTGAAGTAAAATGAACGACGAAATCACATTTCCCTTAACAGTGTATATATACATAATTCGAAATAAGAGAACTAGAAGGAAAGTATAAAAACAGATTTGTAGGGAAATTCTCCGAAGAAGTTACCTTAGCAGCCACCATTTTCCTTTGATGAAACCTAGAAGATTGTGCAGAACACATCCAGCTGCATTCCCTACTTCCTTATGAAATCTCTTTCCTTGGCATTTTTTCTCTATACTCTATATTCTAAGATATCTATATATAATAAGCTCTCCTTTTGTTGGTTTCTCTAAGTGTCCGCGCCACCCACAAAAGTCCTGCCAGCTTCTTTTCCATTTTCCTACAAATGTTCCTATAGAGCAGTGACCGTTTATCACTTCTACTGAATTCCTAACCGTCTTTCTATCAGGTCCTTTTAGTAATTTGATTGTGCTAGTGTTCAGTCTAGACCATGATACCTTCGACACCCCCTTCAATCCAATCTTCTTTTGATGAATTGTTTAGTATAGTTTGAAATTTTTCAAATATCAAACTGTAGTAATGTCAAACAAGTTCCCGATCTTATTGCTGCTTGGTTAGTTTCTCAGCAATCTTATTTGCCTTTATATTACAGTGCTCCGTCAGTCAGCACAACCTAATTGTGTATGTAAATATTAAAGCTTTAAAAGTTCTCAATGATCCTATAACTACTCTTCACAATGCATCTGACCATAACCATTATACGCCCTACTACTGATGTGCAATTACAGTTTAGCACAACTGCCAGAAGACTCCAGTTGCAATATTCATAGACAATATCACACATTTTTGTTGTTTTGTTACAAATATTAACACAAACCTATTACTATGGTGAAGAAGACACTTACATCAGAAACTACTAAACCACTGTGCTCTCATTCTAAACTAATTATATACAAAGTAAGCAAAATGGTGTCATTAACATTATTGTTCAAAGAAAATGTGACAAAATACTCTTAAAATATCTTTAAGTAGGCTTTAACAAACCGTTTATTAGTGTATTTCAGATTGTAATTACTTGGTTTGTTAGTTAATAAATTGTTACATTTACCGATGGCATCAATGAATGTATAAAATATAGACAAAGATTGTTTGTCTTTTTAGTATATAGGAACCAATCAAAACAACTCATCCATACTACTTAACACACAAGAAATGTAGAAGGAACTTGTTTTAGTTTTACCACAAAACTTTATAAAGTCTAAAGTACAAAAGCAAAAATCTTGCTTAAAGATAAATCGTTACTTTTTAAACCAGTTGATTACACGACAATTCATCTAATGAGAAAACTTTTGATTTTTGATTTAAAAAAATTTAATTGATGCTGAAACTGTTCAAGGAATATTTTAACTTTTATTTAAAGAACTAAGTAGCAATTTTAATAAACTATTAAGTAATCCTTTTAAAATTGTTTGAATATTTTGTTGTCATATTAAAATCGTACATAAAATCTCTTGAAAAATGTTCAAAACACTTTAGGAAAACAGTAAAAGCGTAGATTCATATCTAGACATATGGCTCTTAAACTGAAACTTTATGTCAATATGATTTTAGCATTAAGAATACTGATTCTTGTCGCATTATTTGTCATTAATATTTTAACTACTAAATGCAATAGACTTAGTTTTTTATTAACCCATTTTAAAAGTTTTTTTGATTAATTATACTAGATTGACTTGTTTGATTTCTTAAAGTCCAATTCACACTTGCTGTGTAAAGTGGTAGACAAATGAAGATGTTTGTGTCTTAAGTCTTTTGTATTATATACTTATGCGTCTTACAATAGATACACTTTTTCTTGAAAATAAATATTTGTCTATGATAATCTTCTTTTTTGTAAAAATAATCTTTGCCCAACAATGACTTTTATAAAAAACAAAAATTTTAAAAAATATTGTTTGTAATTGCAGTATCGATATTTTTATTTGTCATTGTCATACAAATGATAACGATTTTTATTATATTTATACATACACAAATTTAGTAATACACAAGAAGTAAACGAAATTAACTACTTTTGCGACTATTTATCTTTCTTTGATGAATAAACATAATTTTTTTTTAAACAAATAATTTCAGACATTATATATTTAAATTTCCGCTACATTAAGCTTGTATCTACGAGACAAAGGTATGTAGATCTTAAACATAGAAAACCATGAAAAAAGATATACTACTATCTTTCAATACCACCATTTGCTGCCAGGTGGATACCCATGCTTCCATATGGATACCCTTGCGGTATCACGGAATATGTAAAGTAGATTGTATATGGCGCCGTGTATTCCGAAAGCCCAACTGGCGATATCGAATACTCTGCCAATAGCATGATTTGGTTATTTAGCCACTCGTAGCAAATCGTAAATCTTAATCGGCAATAAAAGAGATGATACTTGCTATAAAGGAAGCTTGAAGAAGTTAAGCTGACTATTGCTAAATGGGCGAGAGAATCCCACCCGGTCACTTGTAATATTAAAACGATGTATATGACCAATAACATATAGTACTATGACTCCAACTGAAGCATTGTTAAATTTAGATTTTTAAGGCTTAATTTTTAAAATAATTTTGTTGTGTACGTTTATAACAAAAACAATATTTATCTCTAGGAAAAAAAAACTTCAATAATATTTTATCAACTTTTATTTATAAAACCCATAATTCTACTTTTTTCAGCAAAAAATCCAAATGCTGTATAAGAAAATGTATATTAGAAAATTAATAAAATAAATTACCCGTAACAGTATATTCCTTGAGTAAGATTAATCCACATTTATCAATATTTTGATGCTATTATTACTGAATATTCATATAAACTTAGAAGTTTGAAACCCAAAAATCTTTCATTCACATTTATCAAAAATATTTTAATTTTTCTATACTTTTTAATGATTTTAGTACCTTTTAACTGCCTTATTCCTAGACATTTATCAAAGGTTTATAAAACAAATTTTCATACAAAATTTGTTCTATAAACTTTTAATTAATGTTTATGAATAAGACCCTAAAAATTTACACATATGTAAGTATGTACATAGTATATGTATATCATAACTATTTGAACACTGACTCATATACATAAATTTTTTATAATTGCAATTTTTATAAATTCTTCTTGGTTTTCACAATTCATTAATTTTTCTGTTTCCACTGAAAACTTTATTTCTTTTTGAGTCGTAATTTACGTCTTTTCAAAACTTGAATCTTCTTTAAAGCCGCCTTCGAAAAAATCACAACCGTTCGCCAAGTAAAACAATCGTCTTCTAAAACTTGTCTCCAGTGTTAATGGAACATCCTCCAAGTTGTATTATTGTTGGAGCTGCAACAAAACACTCAACATGTTGAAGTTGGCAATCATACATGTGGCAGTACAACAAATATTGTTGTTTGAAATGTCAAGCCCAAACTCATACATTTTGAGAGAGATTTGAAAATGTAACGAAGAAGTGATGAAACAGTTTGTAGTAGATTCAAAATTAACGACTTTGAAAATAATATCCATTGTATAATGATTGGTGCAGAATTGCTTTTTTATGAATAAAATGTATTCTTTTAATAAAGTATTAAATGAACTAGAAATTGTAAACTTTATACGTAAGTTCAGTTTTAGAAATGTTGATTTCCTACTTATTTCGAATAAGGAGCATATATGGGTAAGGACACTGTGTTATTATTTTAGTTAAAGTTCGTAATTTCCATAAAATTTAATATTAAGTTGAATATTTATTCAGACAAATCATTCTGCAATTGATCTAAATATATGTTTATTTTGCTATGACAATGTACCATCACGATCTGTTCCATAAATCAGATCATCATCTGTTCCATAAATTTCTATTTTTATCATTTTAAATAAATGTTAAAAAAACGAGATGTTGTTAAAGAAATAATTTAAAGACTTAAGTACCAGCTGCTCTACTCAAGATCTCCTTACTCTTTTTATTTTAAAAGAAAAATTAACGTTATTTTTGATTGTGGCAGTTACAAATCATCTCAGTAGTGGAACTACAAGAGGCTGAATGACAGACAATACTTGTTCGATGATATTACAAGGAAAATACTTTATTTAACTGAATATTAATGATACATTATTTATGCCGCATTTAAAATTATTGTGGCAATGATGTTGTTGTATTGGATATTATTTTATTTCGTTTTCTTTTATTTGTTTTCCGTACAAATATTCACATTTCATTGCAATTCTCTCATGCCTCTTAAAAAATATGCCACAATATTACATTGTATATGCAACATGGAATTCATATGTATGTTGTATGTTAATGTGTTAATTATAAATTCATTTTATTCATTAAAAATTTCGCAAAATATTCAGTAATAGTTGTAAGTTTAATTGCAAATCGATATATTTAGCAGAATGATCGGTTATTCGTCATTTTTTAAAAACCAAGTTTCCATAAGCTCGAATGGTTTACATTTTAGAACCACAGCTAATATTTTAAAAACAGTGACTGAAAATAACTACATTAAATAAAAATATTAGGAACCAGTTATTTTTGGTCTCTGTTTGAAAATAAAAAAAAAAAAAAAAAAAAAATGTTTCCTTTAATAATAAAATATCATTTAATGCGTAAATCATGGTCTAAGCTTTTGTCGTTTCGCCATTTGCTTTAATGGAGAGCCAGCAAGACATACTTCAAGATGTGTAAAGGATATTTTAATACAATGCAATGCATTCAGTAAAAATACACAGTTTTAATTTATCTAATTACTGAGTTACACCCGAAAATGTACTGCATGGTAATTCATTCATTATAAGAGTATTGAACCAGTAAATCGGTAGAGTCGGTCGTGGCCGAACATATGATACCCTGCACCAATTGCGACTATCTATGTATAATAAAGCATTTATGTTGAATCTTACATACATATGTTCCAAATAATGTATGTTCATGTAAGGTTGTATGCTGACTGTGAGAAATTAAAGACCGATTTCAACACCCTACTTCATTGAAACCAGAGAGAAGTATGTGACAAATTTTAACAAATTATATTTACAAGGTCACAAAAATGGACATAGCTTAATCGAATCAGAATGTTATTCTGAACCGACTGGTACACTTATGGACAAATATTTTTGAGTGTTACAAATATCAGCACATTGTGCCGATTTTTGGATAGATAGTAGTATATTAGACGTAGTTAAAAGGTAAAAGATCGAAATTGGTAGGTCAATTCTTATAAAATTTTTTGTCGTAAATTATGTTTATATAAAACTTATTTGTGCCAAATTTCATCGTTATACTAGTGTTTATAAGTGAGTTGTGGGCATACAAGTCATTTTCAGAAGAGGACTTTATATAGGGGCTAAGGTCAAATGAGGCCCGATCATTACGAAAATCGACAGTGTTATTTATAATTATATCAAACTAAATTTTTTTGGAAAGATAGTAATTATATTTGACGTAGTTATGAGCTAAAAGGCCCAAATCGAAAGGTTATATGTGAGCTAGGGCAAAACATAGGCCGATCCTTATTTGTACCAAATTTCATCGTGAAACTAGTATTTATAAGTGAATTTTAGACATTCAACTCATTTTCTGAAGGGGACTTTATAAAGGGGCTAGTATCAAATGAGGCCCGATCATAGCGAACATTGTCAGTGTTATTTATGATTATATCAAACTTAATTGTGCTAATTTTTGGGAACATAGTAGTATATTTGATGTAGCTATTACCTAAAAGGTCCAAATCGGAAGGTCCGGTTATATGGGAGCTAGGGCTTGAGTCAAATAATGCCCGATCTTTAAGAAAATCTCAAGAATTATTAAGACTTACATAAAACTAACACAATTATGAGGTCAAAAGCCTTATACGGGGGGTCCGGTTGTATAAGGGCTAGTAAAATAATGGACCTATTTTCAATATCGTTCCAAATTTCATCAAATTATCTCAAATATTGCCACCTGTAGAGTGCGCACAAGATTTACATGGACACACAGACAGACGGACGGACATAGGCGACTCAGGAAGTGATTCTGATATTATTGGGTGTTACAAACATCAGCACAAATGCATAATACCCTCCCCACTATAGTGGTGCAGGGTATAAAAAGTAATGCAGACGGCATGTAAGTAAGTAGTTATATAAGTAGAAATTTTGACCAAGTTTTTGCGGGGTATGTTTAATATTTTCTAAATTTCTAACCAATTTTCATGAGATTAGATGGTGCATCCACGCACAATCATTCACTTCCATTCAAGTTGCTCAGTATTAATTTGATGTCATTCCATGACAAAGTAGAAAAAATTTTGCAATAAAATCTAACAACATCTTACAGCATAAGGCATGAGATTTATATGTTTTCTTTTAATTTGTTAGTCATTGAAATGATCGTGATGTACTCACTAACCGTATTTTACAACTGTGATATTCACTTTGCAATGCATAGCCGCTAAATTGTTTAGAGACGTCTTTGTGTTTGTAGACTATTCCAGGCATTTCTTTAGTTAAAGGCAATTAAAATATTTTAGTTTTTATTTAATTTGTGGTGATCATCTGAAAATATTTACAAGACACACACTAGTTATTTTAAGTAGCTTCTACGACAGAGTAAATATCAAGTAGGGTAATGCCCAGCAGTTCGATGTGTAGAGATCAACAATAATCATGTATAGTAGATCTCAGTATATTGCAGTTAAGCTCTCTGATATCAGTTATCTCTGATTATTGCAAATTAAGAAACAATGCAAGACGCATTGAACTTCCCTTTAATTTTCTATAATTATATAACTATAAACAATACAAAGAGTCCTTGTGGACCTAAGTGAAGTTCTCTTTAATATAACGGATATTTTTTAATAAGCGATTACATATAATCTTTAGGAATGCATTACTACTTTCAACTAAGTTTTTTTTAAGTATTTTAGTTGAACAAATATCAATTAAGTATTAAAACATAAATATATATCTCTATCCGATGCATCGGAAAAGATAGCGGAAACTCTAACTGGTTTTAAAGTGAGATCATAAAATATGTTTCAAATTCATAATAAATTCATGCTAGTGTTACGAATCTGCACTTGACAACAGTAACACATTATTTGATGTTTGAATGTCAAACTTATATGTATGAATGAAAAGTAAGATATTTGTTCATTCGTTGCATTCGCTACATCAAATTATGTAAAACGATATTAGTTGAATACAAGAAATACAGTGCAACAAATTGTTAATGCAGCAATAACGTACACAGATGGAAAGAGAAATATACATGCCTGGTACTAAATTGACACCAAACTTTTTATAATTTTTCAATACCATCCGTTGTAAAAGTATATATGTACATACGTACGACAACACTATGTAATGTTGACAACATTGCAACATTTCGTTGTCGAAATCTAAATTTTATACACATCCGTTGCCTAAATGTTAACAAACGTGGTAAGCTCACTATTGACAAACAATCCGTTGCAAATTCGTCAACGAATTGTTGCAATGTTGACAATCTTGCGATGTCAACATTACATAGTGTTGTCGTATGTATGAATATACTTTGACAACGAATGTTATTCAAAAATTATAAACTCTTTGGCATCAATTTGGTACCAGGCGTGTATATTTCCATTTTCCTCTGTGTAAGCTATAGCCAAACATAACATACATACTATGTATGTTTGCAACTAAAATTGTAACAGTTTCAATTAGTTCCATCAGTTAAGTACAAGATTAATTTGATGTCATTGCTAGACTTAACAAAATGGATCTGTTGTAACTGTTATTAAACAAATCGCAAAAATACACTTTATTTTTTAGTAAAAGCTTTAAACGGGCGAAAATTTAAGGAAAGATTTGATTTTGA